GCAATGCCCATTAGTCATTCCATTAATATTGTCGCAATTGAATTTCCATTAATATTGTCGCAATTTGAATTTCCAATTGGAAAAGTATTATTCATGGGTACATCGGAGTGTCGAAATTGTTGGAAGGCATGTGCTATATTAGCTGCTCTTTATGTCAACAATGGATGGGGCTTATTTATCATTTGTATTCTAAAATAGTATCACAAATCCTTCGACTCCGATAAAGTTTCCAGAAGTCACTCATCCGAGAGTACTAGTACTTTAAGTGATAGGAAATATGTGTGTGCACTGTATATGCACGGCACCAAAAAAAAAAAAATGTGGTCAAACAATTTTCCGCTTCACTCTTTTCATGTATATACTGTATATATTTGTATATATACGCATGCCGAGATTATGAATTTTACATCTTTTAATTTCATCAAGACCATTACTTGGTACACACAAAAATCTTTCACAAATAAACACTTTATCCAAAACAAATCTTATCCGTCTATTAAAATTCCATCAAATTTTTGCTATTTAAAAAGCGGGTGTGCATCGATTGCTTTTGACCGCCTTTCGATTTCACTTGGTATTCGGTAATATAACAGAGTTATTCATCGGTCACGTTTGCGTTATGTGTATTTTCTTGAGAATTTTGAGAGAATGCTTATATGTCTTCTATATTTTGAAAAAAAAAGAATCAGCTTCTTTTACGTTCCCTTCACTTTCGCTCGTTCGCCATTCCGAATACTCGGCAAATTCCTACACAGCAAAGTTCGTTGATTTTAATTTCCGATGGAACATCATACTTCCAATTCACTCTACGGCGATCACGTTCGTCCAGGAAGTTTACCAGGATCTTCATCGTCGTCCTCCGGGTCTCAAGCACATAGAAAACATAAGGCTGAAAATGACACTCCGGACCAAGCACTCCAATATGCCACAAAGGAAATAATTTTGTCATCTTTGTTTCCTCCGTCGAACGAGTGAGAATTCGTCTTTCCAAGCGAATTGTCGTTCCCACGGCAGTTTCGAGTTATAGTATGCTTGTCTAAATGTTGGAATTGTGTGCTAAAGGCTTGTCTTTTCGTTCTCACAGTGCCTCCAAATGGAAATACGTTCTTAAGGTTGTCCAACAACCGGTTCGAGCGCGTATGTGTGGATTCGGTGAAAAGGTAATGGTGACATCGAAAGCTCGGTAACCTCCTTGGTTTGTTTATTATTGACGTATGAAAGTTTACAGGATCGCAGGTCCATATCGCCCTTACCATTCGTCAGGCTAGATATTACTGAGGATGGCCATCCCGTCAAC